AATATTCTTGCTTTCTATGCAAAATCTCTTTTGTTATTTTTTTGCACCTGATCCCGGGTAATGTAAAACAAAGGAATTTATGCCATGTTGTTTGTAAATGAAAAAGTTCAAAAAAAAAAAAAAAAAAAAATATATATATATATATATATATATATATATATATATATATATATATATATATATATATATATATATATATATGTATAACGACACAAACGACAGATATAAGGAAATTCTTCCGATCACCACCACCACAAGATAAAACTGAAACTGCACGAGCGATAGCTGAGCAGGAGAGTCTTATTGTGGCAGCAGAGAAGAAGGTTGGTGAGCAGCCGAAGCTAACTAGCTAGACTGAGGCGCAGCTTCCCCCAGTGGAGCCGGTGTCAGTACAAGATCTGCTCGGGTGCAAGATCAGCTCGGGAGTGTCCTTTGACTGCTGATGACGTCAAAGTACGGCAAACCCACTCGGACAAAATACACTACACATCTATACTGTTGGAAAGAATTTAGCAGTTTCATTATTAAAATAATGTTTAAGACATAAGTTTGTGTTTATAATGGTATTTGTAAAATAAAACACTATATTGTATTCATAATGTTGAACTCCTCTTTGAGCACATGCCTTGAAGGATCATAGATATTAGCAACACCTGTGAAATTGTATTTGCAAGAAAGAAGTGTGTCCCGTTTTTTTTCTTGAATACGCTTTATTGACAAAGCACATAATACAAGCACAAAGAAATAACAAGCACAATGTCAGGGGGTTCTATGGGAAAACAAAACAGTCTAACAAAGAATCACATGATATTGAACAGGGAACATAAGTTTATGGTTTTGACAGCTTTCAAATTTTGAGAATGTTGTATGGTTTTTATATATTGTCTGGTTTCATTTAAAAGCACTGAAAGGATGGTTTTGCATTAGAAAATTTCGACTTATGTATATGAAATTTAGCTAATAATATCAATAAATTAATCAAATAAAATTGAAGGCCTTCTTGATGGAAGGATACGCCATCATCGATAGGAGGAAGGTCTATATATGTTAGAAATATGATACATTTCAATATTCAGGAAAGGACCAACACACTTTTTTTTTCTAATATACTGTTCCTCTGTTAAGATGGGCTGCTATTTTGAAAATGAGATCTCACTAGACCAAACAGCCCAATGTTTTTCATCTTCTGATTGTTAAAGGTGGAGGTTTTGGATGAGATATTATTTAGTTGGACAATATTGCTCATTCCTTCTGTTTGGATAAATCCTGAGCGGATAAACAGGTAACATTCTAGCCATTTGTTTTGTTTGGTATGTCAGTTTTGTTTACTTCTTTGAATGTTACAGGGTTGAAAAACACCATAAAGCGCAAGGCACTTTTTTTTATTTTGTAAAGAGCTTAAGGCCAACTTAATTTTGTTACAGGAAACACATTCAGGCATAGAGGAGGAAAAATTTTGGAGACAACAGTGGGGGGATAATATTTTATATAGCCATGGTACCAGCTATTCGGCAGGGGTTATGATACTATTTAACAAATTTACAGGGAAAGTAATTGATCATAGAGGAGACAAAGACGGCCACTGGTTAATAGCAGCTATAGAAATATATGATCAGAAATTTATTATACTTTCTATTTATGGATATAATAACAAAACTAAAAACAGAGAGATGTTAGAAAACATGGGCAGAATGATAACGCATTGGCAAAATGTTCATATGACAGATAAGGTGGTTGTGGGAGGAGATTTTAATATCGCACCAAACTCTTGGTTAGATAGGTTACCGCCTAGAGGTCAGCAACTTGAAAACAATGATATCTTACAAGATTTCTGTTCAATCACTAATACTTTTGATTACTGGAGATTAAATAATCCTACAAAATCAGAATACACATGGATCAGTGCTTCTAATGGAAACCAACGGTCAAGAATAGATTATTGGCTAATCTCACACTCTATAGGTAACAATGTAAAGAAATGTGAGATTATTACTTCTATGCTCACTGCTCACTGTTTAAAAAGCTTAACTTTAATAATAATAAAACAAACATGCTCTTCAGACAGTTTATGGAAACTAAATAATAGCCTTTTATAAAATGAAGGGTTTTGCAAACAAATAAAAGCCCTTTGTCAAAAAGTAAAAAGGATGGATATGTCAAATAAAGGAAAATGGGAATGGTTTAAATTTGAAACAAAGAGGTTGGCAATTGAAATGGGGAAAATGATGAAAAAAGAGAGAAAATTAAAGTAGAAAGAACTGCTAAAAAGAATCAGCCTACTCTGTGATAAAATTAATAACACGGAGGATGAACTAACAGAGCTAAACTTGCTCCAAAAACAGCTTGACGAAATCTATATAGAAAAAGCGAATGGAGCCTTTGTAAGATCCAGGGCTAAGTGGATTGAAGAAGGTGAAAAGAACTCAACATATTTTATGGATTAGAAAAGTCTAGACAATCCAAAAAGAAAATGTGCAAATTAAAAAAAAAATGACACTGTAATAGTAGACCAAAATCAAATAAAGGAGGAAGTTCAACGTTTTTACTCAGACCTATATTGTTCTAATTTCTGTGAGGAGGAATGTAAATCCTTCTTCAATCAGATAAAGAACAATATTAAATCTATTGGAGAGGAAGACAGAAAAAATCTGGAGGATGATTTGAATATTAAAGAAATAGAAAATTCCCTGAAAAAAATGAAAAATGGGAAATCGTCCGGTATTGATGGATTGACCTCGGAATTTCTTAAATTTTTTGGGAAGATGTTCAAGAATTGTTATTAAGTACATTTAATGAGTGTATAAATGAAGGATGTCTTACCCCAACAATGAAAACTGGAATAATAACCCTTCTTCCCAAACCAAAAAAAGATACAACAGACTTGGACAACTGGAGGCCAATTACTCTGTTGTGCAATGATTATAAATTATTAGCGCTTTTATATGCAGAAAGACTGAAAACTGTAATTGATGAAATAGTAGATGATAATCAGTCTGTGTTTATAAAAGGAAGAAGCATACATAATAATGTGAGATTAGTACTGGATATGCTGGATTATAGGTCTATTATGGAAACGGACAGCCTCATTTTATTTATAGACTATTTCAAAGCTTTTGATTCACATAATTTTTTATTTTCCACCCTAGAATATTTTGGTTTTGGAAAAAAAATTTGTTCAGTGATAAAAATGTTCTATACTGATATTAACAGTTATGTTTCCTTAAACCCAGGATTAATAAAAATAATAAATATAACTTGTGGAATAAGACAAGGATGTCCAATCAGCCCCAAACTGTTTATCTTATGTATACAACTATTAGCATATCTAGTAATAAATCATCCAAATTTTCATGGTATAAATTTTTTTGATTATGAATTTCGTTTAAGTCAGTTTGCAGATGACACTGTTTTTTTTCTAAATGATAAATCTATGGTTAACAAAGCATTACAAATTATTTCAAATTTTTTCTAAAGCATCAGGTCTTCGTCTGAACACAAAAAAATGTGAGTAACTTTCACTGTATGAATGCACAGATAATGAGATAATGTCAATTCCTGTTAAAAAAGAAATAAAATATCTAGGAGTTAAGATAGTTGCAGACGAAAAACAAAGAGAAGAAATCAATATGAAAGAAAAAACTGATCAAATACAAAAAACTCTGAACCAATGGCTTAGCAGAGAGTTTTTTGGGCGAAATTTATTGTCCAAGTCTGAGGGTATTTCCCAATTGATCTATCCATGCCAATCCCTTTATATTGCTCCAAAAACAGTGAAAAATATTAACGCTATTATATACAAATTTATATGGAGAAATAAAACCTATTATATAAAAAAATCCCAGTTAGTCAAAGAACATAAAAATGGAGGCATGAAATCTGTGGATTTTGAAGCAATGCTGGGAACATTTAAAACAAAGTGGCTGAAAGAGTTTCTAATAAAGACAGATACAATTTGGTTTCATATTCCAAAAAATGTCTTCAAGAAATTTGGGGGGCTAAACTTTCTTTTGAAATGTGACTTTGAAATCACTAAATTGCCTTTTAAATGATCTGAATTTCATAAACAAGTATTGCATTATTAACGATAAAAAACACAATTCTCTTCTCTAATGTTCAAATAAAACTTCCTAATTTATTAATAGGAGAAATGAACATCACAGAAAGAAAATATGAAAATAAATTTTTAAATGGAGCCTTTAAAAATATATCTATCATGATTATGATAGAAAGATTAAACTAAAAATACAAGGAAATCCAATAATTGAAGAAAAACAATTAAAAATTATAAAATGGCCTATAATGCCCAAAGTAAAAGAAATGCAATTTAAAATTCTTAACAACTACTATCCGTCAGCAGAGACATTGAGGAAGAGATTTGGTTTTGAAGTTGACCCTTGTGAATTATGTCAGGAAAGCCCTGAAGGAACAGAACACTTATTTTTCAGCTGTCCTGTCAGTAAGAGGTTTTGGGAAGAAGTCCACTGTTGGTTAAGAAATAAAATAAGATAACTTGATCATTTTTCAAATGAAGATATTCTTATTTACAATTCTAAATTAAATGGGAATAATTCATTGTTAATTAACATTATTATTTTTATGGGTAAATACCACATCCACAAAAGCAAATGGAAAAAACAAATGCCAAACATGGACTGTTTCACAAATGAATTCCGTATGTTCTCATCCACTTTGACTCGTATAAAAAATTCAAATGCAACTGCAAAAGTCATTTGTCATGCTGCAGAAAAACGTTTAATCTTGTAACAATGTTTTTACTTTGTGATATAAGTGCTTCTTTTTTAAGTTTCTTTTTTTTAATTGTTACTAAGGATGCCTTGTATGTTTCCATTATGTGTTGTTGTCTCACGAGAAATTGTAATAAGCATTTAATCATAAAAAAAACGTAACGTGATAACAACGTAACGTGATTACGTAATTCCGTAAGGTTCATGTTCAGCCAATCATCTACTTTGACGTCAACGGCAGTCGACGGACCCCGAGCCGTTCTTGCACCCACCCGAGCAGATCTTGTACCGACACATATGTTCTGGGAATTTCTCCTACCATGTAAACCGTCCTACCCGTTGTTCCTGAGCATGTGCGCGCATGCACACAACACAAAAAGGGAAGCAAAGCGCATCCGGCTGTGATTTTATGCTACTCCGTTGTCATTTTTGCAGGAAAATAGGTAAGTAGTAAGTATTAGTACTTTTTATTGACGTTGATACTTGATTTTTTAAGCCATTGTGATTGTTTGTCAATATTAAAGTAAAGTCGCTATCTGCTTTCTGCACAAAACTGTCGAATTTGCAACTTTGGTTAAGTCTGCTGTGAAGTTACTGGACACGTGGTATTTGGACAACCCGCAGCTTCGGTGTTTTAAAGGGGCATTATGACAGCCAAAACATGTATAGAAATGATAAATTTCTTCTTCATACATTCTCCTGCAATGCCCTGGTCCTGTAGAATGAGCCCTGGCATTATACTGTGATTGCCTGTTTTTCTGTAAAATCACAGAAAAAGAGAGCTGCTTGGGTCGAGCAGGCTGCTTCATGCGTGTTCACGCTCAGGCATAGCAGTAGCATTTGCTATCAGTAGCTTTGGCAGCAGAGAGTGAGGTAGTGCCAACTCAGCGACTTTGTCGCTGTTCCTAACGCCTAGTGATGAACCTAGTTACATTTCTGAGGACCCTTAGCTACTTTCTTCTTGATATTTCCTGCAAATTAGCAACAAAATAGCCATTTTCGCTGCAAACTGTTCTTTGAACGTTGTTTCAGCTGTCATGAAGGATATAAATGTTACAGATACAAAAGACGGCACTGTCGCTTTAGCTCACCTACTAAGATGTCGGGCTCCCGTGCAGAAGATCTGGGTTCAATTCTGGATGTGATTGTAGTTTATTTAGATTTAATTTTTTACATTAATGGTATATATTTTTTTACAGTAAGATGTCCAAATTATTTTTTGAGACTCGCCGAACAGCATTGAATTCACAGATAAAAAAGGTGTGGGTTCAACTTTGTCATTTTGGAACAATTTTTCAAGCAAGGGAAGGGAATGATCTGAGCATGCAGGAAGACTGACCCATCATAAACCTTTGTCGGCTGTGCTGAAGAGAAAGGTACAGAACCAAATAATTTAATTAATTAGCTGCGCGTTCTCCTATCCTCTGTCCTCGGGGCCACACACACACACGGAACTGTCTCAGCTAGGGCTGCTCAATTAATCGAATTTTAATCACAATTACGATCTGAGTTTTGAATGATTATACAAACAAAACAAGCCGATTATTTGCTCCTCCCACTTGCGCTGCCCTGAGTTGCAAATGAAGCGCTCCTCCCACAGTGTTGCCAACTTGGCGACTTTGACGCTATTTCCAACAGCTTTTCAGACCCCCTTCTTGACTTTTTAAATCTTAAAAGTACCTAGCGAACACCTCAGAAACATCTCTGGTAACCCTTAGCTACTTTCTGGATAACTGTCGTTGACATTTCCTGCAGGTTAGCTAAACACTCCGCCTGAAGCTCAGAAGAAAATTTCTCCTTACATTCGTAGATATGGAGAAGAAGTGGGAAGAGATTTACGCATTAATTTCTGCGGGCTCCTACCCTTCAGGATATGACAAGGCTCAGAGGCAAAACCTCAGAAGATATGCCTCAAAATTCAATCAAAAGGGTCAGTAATTTATTGTTAATCCTAACAACTCATATATGTGTTTAAATTAATTTCTAAATATATATTGTTTTACTGCAGATGGAGAACTCTTTGTTGGAACCAGAAGAGTAGTAAAAACCATGGATGATGCCAGGAAGATATTTCATGAGTTTCATTCAGCTCCAATTGGAGGACACACTGGCACACACAAAACGCTAAATGCAGTGTGTTCCAGATTTTACTGGTTTGGTATGACAGTTGACATTAAAACATGGGTATGTATTAACTGTTTGTATTGTTGTTAAATACCGTTTAAAATAAGCAAATTTTTTGATATCAGTTAAAAGAGAAACTGTGTACTTGCAAAATATAAATAAATATGGTTAATTAGTGATATTACAGTAATAACCTGTAGGCCAGGCATTGATTAGAAGACACAGACAAAGTATTGTTGCTAAATTGTTTGTTAGAGAATATATCATTAAGTGGTTTTATTTGATTTTTTTTCATAAATGAGAACGTTGAACATTTACGTGAACTCCATAAACATTTCTACCTTAAAGATTCTGGAATGTGACCAGTGTCAAAAAGTTGGGAAACCACTGACTGCTGTGCAACCGTTGCAGTGTATTCAGGTAAATATTATGCCCCTTTTACCCATCAAACTATGCTTCTAGTTCACATTCATAAAGGCAGGAGGGTTTGCCAACTAATTTTAACCATTGATGTTAATGTGTACATTATACAAATTGTTATTCAAATTATTAATTTGTCCTTGATAGGTGTCTAAAGTGTGGGAACTTATTGGTATAGATCTTACTGGACCTCTTCCTAAAACTTCAAGCATGCTACTGTTGTTATTATAAACTAGAAGCAAAAGAATTATGTGCCAAAGCATACTACCTTTGTGAAGCACACTTTAATGGGTAAAAAGAAGTGTCAAACCGTACTGGCTTTATGAATATCAGCTACAAACATACTCTGATGGGCAAAGTTAAGTGGCTAACCGTCATACCTACTCAAATTTGTGCTGGAATTATTGTTTGGCAGCAGAAATGTGCATAAATTACGTACAGTAGGACGTTTTGCCAAAGTAGGACGTTTTGTCAGAACACCGGTGCATGAAGATTTTAGCGCCAATCCCAGCTGTAGCGGGCTCTCCAAAACCCACTCTCCCAAACTTTTCTACTTTAAAAAGTGTTCTCACAGACAATAGACTCAGCATGCTTCACCAACGAAAAGCACATTTAGTGCAGCTGGCCTTTGAAAGAGACTTAAAGGTGTAGCAATCAATGTTTCTGAAGAACCGCCCATTTAACGTTCTTTAAAATGGTCATGCGCACCCCTCTACCAGTCCGTGGAGCGTGCTCGTGCACGCTCTGTTTCCAAGCAACTGCCGACTTTGCACCTGTTGACTGTAGCAACTTCTTTTTTTCCCACAATGTCGGATTCTCCACCAGTAAGTTATATTCCATGTAGCATTACGAGCATCTTCATAGCTAACTAAAGCATTACAAAAAAGCTATCAATTAGCATATAAGTTATATTGTTTTGCTGATTGGTTTAGAGCTTTCCTGAGGAAAGTCTTTTTGGTTCCGATATGGACTACGAGCCCGTGCCCGGTCCATCCCGACCAAGATCCAGGATGAGGGGTGCACCTAGAGACCGAGTGAGACGATCCAGGGCCGGAAGAGCCACAGCTTCAACCACCCGCGGCAGCCGAGAGCAGGAAGGAGGCGGCCGTGTCAGAGGTCGACGTCGAGTTCGAGGTCAAGCTAGAACCCGTGGGGGTCTGCTCGCTGACCTTACACGGGATGACTTAGAAAGGGTCCAACAACTCCGGCAACAGTTGGTGGCAGTGGAAGAGGTATGAGTGCACATATAAATAACTTATCATAATTTTGCGCAAAAAAACGCCAAAAGCAAAGCCTTTATTTTACATTTGCTCCATTAGGGCTGCTCAATTATGGCAAAAACAATAATCACGATTTTTGTGACTGAGATTGAGATCTCGATTATTTAGGACGATTTTTCAATTTATGTTTTTTATTTGTTTTTATTCAGTCATAAAATTGCTCAGGGCACAATCAGGACAAAAGTAAATAAGAAACAAGATGATCACTAAAATAACTCCTGATTCCCAAGACCAATATACTTACAGCTCATAGTTTATGACCCAAGGGCTGTAGACCTTGGTTTAACTCATTTAAGTCTAACCAGTACAGACCCAAATAACATCTTGCAAATACTGACAGCAGGAATTATACAGTGGCATTTATAACAAATACATGCAAATAAATTGATGTTCACAAAATGTTGCATAACATTTATTGAGTCGTGTCAAGGTGCTGTAGGAGCGTGCACTAGCACCGTGTCCTCAGAGAGATTAGTTATTAGTTATCAGTGTGAGGAACTTATTTCTACCTTATTTATAAACAATTTATTTACAGGTCCATCAGTTAATGTAATGATTGTCCCCACCACAGCTGCACCCCCACCCCCCAACCTGGTCTCACAGCAATCAGGGGCAAGCTGCACGTGTGTTAAGCATGCGCACATTTAGCCGTTTTTAGTGGCTCAGGAGTCCGCAGGTGCGGTGTGTGTCACTCACTGTGGTTACTCCAACAGGGAGCCGGCTCCGAGAGCTGTTTCTGTAGCGACTGACACATCACTACATCATTCCCTTTCCTAATGTCCTGAAGAACGGTCCGGAGCGCAGGCGGAGTGTTTAGCTAACCTGCAGGAAATGTCGACGACAGTTATCCAGAAAGTAGCTAAGGGTTACCAGAGATGTTTCTGAGGTGTTTGCTAGGTACTTTTAAGATTAAAAAAGTCAAGAAGGGGGTCTGAAAAGCTGCTAGAAATAGCGTCAAAGTCACCAAGTTGGCAACACTGTGGGAGGAGCGCTTCATTTGCAACTCAGGGCAGCGCAAGTGGGAGGAGCAAATAATCGGCCCGTTTTGTTTTCATAATCGTTCAAAACTCAGATCGTAATTGTGATTAAAATTCGATTAATTGAGCAGCCCTATGCTCCATTACGAGTCCAATTATTTCATCTGTATGATTATCCCGATTTTGAATGTGTGAAATGTTATGCAGATTTATTCTAACGTATTCATAACATACTCTGCTCTATCCAACATTATTAGTTACATTGTGCTACAGTGAATACACCGAAAAATGTTGTGAATGTACTTCCTTCATTTTATTCCAAACATTTTGCACTCAAGGTCCTTATGCCTGTAACATGTAGTATCTGAAAGTTTTATGAGTCCATTAGCCAAGCACAACAATTTAAAAGTGTGATTTTGCATTCACAGGCTAGGATAAACAGACTGACACTAGAAGAGTGCCAACAGCTTCTACAAAGATGTCTCACACGGGAACCTAGTCTCATCTTTGACCTGATGAGTCTCACCCCTGATCACCCTCAACCTGGACCTTGTCCTCCACAGTCACCCAGCTGGTGTATCTGCCTACAGTGCAGAAATATGGCAACACTGCTGGAACAAAAATGCTGTCAACAACAACCACAGAACTGTACATCACTGTTGCCACACATGGACCTATACATCTTGAATGAAGGTGCATTGAGACTGGCCAGACGAATCTGGAATGACCTTAGAGCGGAGGCTGACATCCATGAGCCGGGAGAAAGCCATAGGCAGTTCCGCTATGCTGCATACAGGAACTTTATTGTCTGGCAGTATGGCCTTCTGGGAACTGATGTTAGAATTGTTATACCTTCATGTTGTGTGTGGAAAATTAGAGATCGTTTCCCAGATCCAAATGGACAGTATGTAAGCTTTCTTCAATCAAGAGTGTAAAACATTTGTTGATGCCTAATAAATCTTTTTGTTATTTACCTAAAAAAAAAAGAGACCTCAAGAGCTTTACTTGCACACTCATAACCTGATTAATTACACGGTTGTATTCTGACACTTCAAATATCTAACATTTCCAGGTTTTAATAAAAAAAAGTATTTCAAGGCGTTCAAACACAACGTTATTTACATTTATAAATACATAAACAATTTACCTCAGCAAAAATTTATTTAAAAAATATGCGGAAATATAAACAAATGATTATGATTTTTTAAAATTAGCTCTTACGTATAAAATCAATGTTTTATGAAAGGCATACATCCACCAGAAAATGTTTGATATGGCACATTATGTACAGCTGAAATAAAATCACAAATTTGGTTCCCTTTAGATGTAGGTACTGTTGTAAACATCAAGTTGTCTCTCCTCGTCACCCACAGCATTTGACATCTCACGTGTGAGAAGGTTGACCTGTAGAAATAAAGAAAGTAGGTTGGCAGCATTTCTAGATATAAAATTTTATCCATTTACTAAGTAAATGTGTCCCATGTAACAGCTGTTTACACAGAGAAGGATTTCATTCAACATACAATGCAACTCACCAAGCCCTCGGCTAGCTTTCTTTTCCTTCAGCTCTTGTACTGTTGGGGCGGGGCCACCAGACAACAGCCCAAGCCTTCGTGGATCATCAGGTGCAAGAGCCTGAGTTTCTGCCATCGCCCTAGGAGCCAACATTCTGGAATGGAGAACGGCGCACTGTAGATCTGGAATGTACTTGTAGATTTTGGGTTTCTTGATGGTGTACAGCCGCCACATCTTGGATCTTTTGTTAAAAATCCTGCCATACCTAGGAGTACATACAAATGCTGATCTCTCAACACAAATGATGGGCAGATTAAACAGTTCATTTCGATGCTTCTCCCACACAACGGGTGTTTGGATCTAACTTCCGCGTTTATTGCTCGGACTGTATCGCAAGATCTCGAAAATCCCGCGCATGCCTGTTTGCGCACCTCAGGTCTCCGCACCGGAGCGGAGTGTATAATTTGAGTTCGGAAGCGAGCGGCAGCAGGGGGCGGAGCGGAGATAGTGGAATTTTGGGTTTACTAAACAGTGCTGATATTTGAATGTTGGCGTCTGTGCAAAACTCTGTGACATTCCCCAGCTTTGGACAGAGTGTATCCATGGTCTCCATGAATGTCACCTTTTCCATAGCCACAGAGTTCCCTCCAACCTGTCTTTTGTCCATATTGATAATCGAAACTATACTTTGGGTGTCTTTCTCCATAGCAGTGTATGTGCAAAACTCAGCACAGAACCCAGGACTGTCCATCCAGGCATCACCTTCCAATGACAAATGGAATACACTTGTTCAAACTTTATATGACAATGCCAACAGATAAATGCTTTTTTAAAAATATAAGTATCAGTCATCTCATTTACTAACCGAGTAGAACAACAGAGTCCTTTGAAGTCAACTTGCTGATGATATTGCTAATATCCCTCTTCCAAAAGTCTTCTATGTTTGACAGACAAAATTTGGTTTGGATTTTGTAGAAGGTGTTTCGGTTAATTATCCCTATGTTCGTAAACTTGTGGAGCAGAGCGATTTTGTTGAAGTTGTTCCCAGACAGGAGGATCTTTACACCTAACATAAAATCCCCAGCAAGCATTCCATACTTGAAATGTCGCTGTGAAGTCCATTTCCAAACTGTGTGACCATGAGGACATATCTATAAGAGAGAATCTGTTTAGAAAGAGTATAGAAAATCTGACTATAGAAATAACTGTCAGCTGTTAATGATAACATGTCAGAAAAACTCACCCATTCTGCAACGATTGCCGAGCACCTTGATTTTACAGACACCTCAAATGGCCTAATAGCATTACAGGGTGCCTTTGTGATGGAATCCTTCATTGTGCATTTTTCTATTGGTAGAATAAGGAAGTCCAGCAGCTGCTTTATAATGTCATGATAGACTATGGACGCGGGCTGGCCGATCTTCTTCTCTGAAGACTGTTGTTGCATCTGGTGGAGTGGCAAATTCCTGGCTTTCACATTCATTGTCTTCTGGGTCATCATGCACAGTCTGATCAAGGCCAATCACCGGGCAATCCTCTAAGGACATTCCATTTGGGAGTGTAACACCAGACCTGTAAATATAAAGAAAAAATATTAACACACCTCCTGGAGAACAATACATTCTTCCAATCACTCAAACTGGCAGCTTTTCACCCATTGCAATGGTTCAGCATGTGATGAACCTGAGCTTTTACTATTCAGTAGGATGCTGGTGACAGACATCACATCTCCATGTGTTTGGGACACAGCCTGGAATGTGAAACTAAAGCCTGATTCATGCTTCTCCGTCAGCGTCGCAAGGGACAGATACGCACGGATTGACAGAAGCGTTTTGCTCTCATACTTCTCCGTCTCCTGGAGAGTGTTGCAAAGCAATTCCCCACCAGGACAGCAGAGGGCGTAGCACTGTTCTGTGGTATCCCGTCATGTATCGGTCCAAGATAGTGTGTTTATATTGTGTTTTTTGTATGTAAGAGACTTTTTAACACAGATAAATTTGTCTCTCATCCTCCACCTCTTCATGAGCTCGCCACCTCTAAACCCATGTTTCCTGTCATTTCCGTCAACAAATAAAATGCTTGCTGCGTATCTTTTCACTTTTCCAGTCACGGGGCAATTAAACGTTCATATTTTAGAGTTTTTTCGCGAGGAATTCTTCAAGCTTCTCCGTGTCTGCTGCTAGTTATTCTCGTCTCTCTTTATGTTTTTGAGGGCGCAATGGCGGCGGTGTAGACGACAGTGTTGCCCTGACCAATCACAAGCTTGCATTCTCCGTCTCGACGGACGGATGTTTGGAAAAGTGGGCTCGACTCCGTATGTACTTGCGTGCCTGCCGGGGCCATACGCAAGGACGGATAATGGCGTTGCATGTCTCCGCACTGACGCAGACGGAGAAGCATGAATCAGGCTTAACCTTTCAAACAAACACACCTAAAACCTGTTTGTTCTGACAGTTGAGGGCCATTACAGGAGTTATTTTACATCTGCATTACTTTTGGAGACTGTTAGCAGGAAGGCATTTTTGAAAAACAACATTTATGTTTACCTATATAACATTCATATGAAACTGTTCTAGTACAACAAAGTACTTTCCATTAATAAATTATGAAATAACAATAATACAAATACCTTATGCAAATGCCACAATCCAGGTCTTCTGCTTCTTCTTCAGCTGGGATTTCGTCCTCTGAAAAAGCTAATTCATCGTTCTCATCTGACGATGACAGTGAATGTATCTCTGTATCAGGAGTCCAAGTAGCATCCAATGTGTCATCCCAGTCAATTCTAATGAAAGACATAGACCAAACAACAGAACTGATTTTTTACTATTGTATACTATCAAGACAAATCCCATCAGCAACATGTCACAGGACATTGTTCCAGACAAAAATAACATGTGCACATAACCATAAGCCTCTGTAGCATCACGGAAGGTCCTCTAATTTGTGGCAACGGTCACATTTACCCAGCTGGGTCAAGCTGTGACTTTCAAGTCCACAGATTAACTCAGGAGTCATGATGTCTGCTCAATATCATCCACTATCTGCTGCTGTTCCGTCCCAGAAGGAGGTCACTTAAAGTTCACGATAATAATTAAATAACAATATTAATAAATTCTTCGACTTTATTACTATTTATTATAATCATCATAAATAATCACTTGGTTCAGTATAAATTTATTTTTAATTACATGAAATGAATTATTATGCTTTGGGTATAAGATGATTATGGTTGATGACAGTAAAATATGTGTTCAGCAAAGAAAATAGTTCCACCTTATCCATCTAACACAGAGTTCATCCAGATAAACAATAACTGCCAACACATGTTTTTGACGCATGACCAAAGCTTTCTTGCTGAGAGTGGGTGTGTTCTGAGTACTTTGTAAACTAACCTGCAACAGCTGATGTTATCATAGCTGTAACAAATATAGAATTTTAAACATATTAGTTCTTTGTTTATACAAAATCCAAATATAACAAATATTTCATATAGATGTCCACAGATATTCTTTAAAGTATATTCTTCTGAAGGTCATCCAGCTCTACATTTGAAACTACCTCTAATAAATTCATGCTACACTAAATATGACATTCCCTTATGTGTTTTACTTTATTGTTTGATTCATGCATCAGGGCATTGTCTTTAATGTCTCCGCTCAAAGATGTGTTCAGATTCAGATGCAGCAGCCCCCTGTCCGCATGTAAAAAAATAAACTAAACGGTGCTTTGCGGATCGATGAGCCGACTGTTTCCACTACACTCTCGAAGGATTCAGGATACAGACGGAGGAACGGTCGGAAGGATTCTGTGTCAGCAAAGTGCATCTCTTTGGGTAGATAGGCATAAAATCCTAGACTGCTCCGTCTTTGCAGCCACCGTACACATACTTTCCGAAACTTGAAATGACGATTGCGGCGATGCATCAACAATAAAACAAGTATAAGCATTTCCTCTATTTACAGCTCTCTCGCCATTTGTTTTATTTTTTTCACATGCAGACCGGGCGCTGCCATGTTGGAATCACGTGAGCAGAGAACGCGCTTTATTTGGCCAGTAGAATATTTCAGAAGCTGATGTGCACAAACAAATAAAAAACAGGTTTTATTTTCATACAGTTCTTCTAGCAGTAATCTCAAATGCATTCCTCCAAATAGCATGCCAAACTTTAGCTTACCTGTCGAGCAGAAAACAGGCGACCGCAGCGTCGGTGGACAGCCCAACCGTCTCTTTCAGCGAACGCCAACGTTGAAAAGAGTCTCCTAAAAACACTCTGGTCTTATTTATCACTTCAGAGGCCTTTCTCTTCTTCTCGTAGACTTTGAAGACACCTTTTCTCTTGCGACTCTCAGCCATTTTCAAAAGAACCTGTTGAGATAAAAGTGCACAACCCGTTGAGAAAAAAAAAGAGTGTGCATGCTTAAGGAGAAAACTGGCCCAGGGGCGAGCACGTACGACGGACTTACGCAAA